TTGTGAGAACAGTAGTTCAAAGACCAACCATTTCCAACTTTCAGAACTTAGGATATTTGGCAGAAATAATAACAATAACTTGAAGCTTTGAAATCATTGAATCTCGCATTTCAAGGAGCAAAACACTGACATCATTGTTCATCAGGGTACATTTCAGCACTAACAGACAAAACCCAGCTAGAGACACAGCACACTGACACTAAGAATGTCTTCTCCTGCTTGGCTTAATGAAGCTCTGTATGACAAGGCTTTGGAAAACAATTTCGTAGAGGAAAATGTCAAATTCCATTTCGCCTGTTAGGAGGAAGCAAACCTCAGTGTCCTTCTGGCCTTGTGGTTGCAGATTCTTTCTCGGAGCTTGTGAGGAACCAGCCCTCTTCTTATTGTTGTTCCGTCTTCCCCAGGAGATCTCCGAGGCCTTTGCTGGAACAAGGGGTTGCTTCAGGTGCCAAAGTCAGCTTCCAGAAAACCCCGTTGGAGGATTTTGGGAGGAAGCATGCCCTGGTTTCCCCCACAGTGAGCAGCCCTTGTGTGGCATCCCTGTCGCTTCCTCCCAGCAAAGCTGGCTCCAGCTTCTGGGACATAGGACAGTGGTTTCTCCTGGACCCTGGGCACAGCACGACTTCCCCTCTGTGAGGCCTGGAGTTTATTATTCCATGTGTCTTCATGGGTGATGAATGTACAGAGTTTGAGAGCAAAGTTTGGTTCAAGCCATTTGGGGACAAAGGAGGGTCCATAGAAATGGACACAGGATGTTGAGAGCATTTCTCTTTCATTATCCCTGGAATTGTAGCTTCCAGGGGACTTGCATATTTATCCTTTGTGGCTAATTATCAAAGAACTATAGGACCAGTGCACGGTGGGGTCCGTCAGCCTGGCCTGGGAGGATCCAGCTGAAACCTGTTCTCCATCATCCCCCAAAGGGTCTGGATTGGGAGAGGGAAGTTCTTGGGTGATGCGCCCTGAAATTGGGTTCCCTCCTTTCTGGTTCCAGTTGCATCACTTGAGAGCTGCAGCTGCCAAGTCACCACAGCTGGATTAGCTTCTGCATTGAGCATCTGCCCCCTGGTGGTCAGTGTGCGTTATATATAGCTATTGGTCGGAGATTCTGCCCTCTGATGGTGATTGTGTGTCAGAGCTACCAGCCAGCTGGTCGCTTAGGCTTTTATATATATACTAGGGGCCCAGTGCACAAACCCGTGCACCTTGAAAGGAACTGTGGACCTTGAGGCTGTGGTAGGCACAGGGGCAGGTCTTGGCTCATCCTTTGTGCCCCTGCCTTGCCCCTCCTTACGCAGCTCCTGGTCCCCTGTCTGCCAGCAGCCCAGCTCCCACATGCCCACAGCACCAGCCCCACTAGAACCCACTGACAGTGCAGAGTGATTGGGGCCAGCTCCAGCTGTGGGTGTAAGTGGCAACTGCTTCCCTGATTACCCCTTAGGAGCAGGGGGAGGTGGAGAAGCCCTCACTGGCGATCGGGGCCTGCAGCCGCCGCTCACACCACTGATGGCGCCGAGTGATCAGGACCGTGCCAGGCACTAGCAGCAGGTGCAAGTTGTGACTCTGGCCCTAATTGCAGGTGTGAGCGGGGCCAGCGCTGGCAGTGGGAGTGAGTAGGTCTGGCACCAGCAGCAGGTGTGAGCACCAGGCGGGACCATGGTGCATGGGAGCAAAGAATTTTCAGTAACCACCAGAGGCTCGCCCAGATGACAGCGACCTGCACCCTGCCTTGGTCTGGCACCCCCACTCACCTGCTCTACCATCCCATTGCAGCCAACGCCTGCCATGTTTCACATACACCCCCTGATGGTCAGCACACATCATAGTGACCTGTTGTTCGGTTGTTCCGCCATTTGGGCTATTTGTGTATTAGCCTTTTATTATATAGGATAGATAATCAGAGAATCGAAATGTGCTTCCCATAAATATGTCAAATGTGGGGATTTCTGGAGAGGAACTGGGAGGTGACAAGGCCCCCATGGGAAACCTGCCTGATTTCCCTGTCTCCCTGGGTAAACTTTGGCCCACCTACTGCTGAAATAGGATGGTGTCAGAGGAAGGCCTGGTTCGCTGGCTACTCTTCCCATAGACCACTCAGAACAGCGAGGTGTTCAGAAAATTTACCACCTTATCATGATCAGCTCATCTTACCTGAGATACCACTACCCGCACTGGGAAGGAGTTGGAGGCATTGCTTTATACCAAGTGACTCCCAGGGACAGGGCTCGGTGCTTGCATTTTGGGATCTTACTTAAGCTTTCCGTCCTCCTTGTAAGGTTAGCATTTCTGCTCCCATTTCACAGAAGGGAACACTGATTCTGGGAGCATTTAAGTAACCCTCCAAAGCACACACTCAGTTCCCATTTGTCGTTCATTTTGTGGGCTCCCCAAGATTCTTGGGTTTCTGTCCACGATGTTCCCCAAGACCCTGTGCCCGAGAGCCTGGACCTCTCACTCACCTCGGATCTAATCACTGTGGGAACACGGCTTACACTTTTAGGGTCTCAGTATCCTCATCCGTAATGGGGTCACCAATTGCTACTTGCCTGGGCCGTGATGACCTAAGACATCCTCAGCGTGAACTGCCAGGCTGGGCACAGACACACAGCCGGCGCCACCACGCTGCCCACTGCAAGGCTCGATGCCCCTCTACCCCTCCCTGCCCCAAGGGCGCATGTCGGCTGCGCAAACACAATTGGTGTGGGCGGCTTATTCTTTTTCATTCTCAGTGGAACTGATTTGATTTGATCAAACAGGGAGACCGGTTTCAAAAGCCTGGGTCACCGCTCGTAATTGGCCAGCTCAGCGACGGTGCCACCCTCATTGACCCGTGGCTTCCAGTCCCCACTCATGCGCCCTGGCCTTTGATTTGTAGTCCCGGGCAGTGTCATTCCGAGCTTCCTATTTGCTGCCTGGATGGAGAGGAGCGGGCACTCAGGAGTTTAACCCCGAGGTGATGAACAGGGGAAAAGGGAGCTGTGTCTGTGAAGGCCCAGAGGAACATCAAAGGCCCTGGCACAGGTGGTGCAAAAGGCCCTGGCACAGGTGGTGCAGAAGGCGGCACCAGGAACCGCAGGGTGTGCTTGCCTCTTCCTTTGATCCTCAAGTTTTCTGAGTCTAGCAGACTTCCTGGGACAGTTTGGAAGCTCAGAGGGGCCTGGAGAGGAAGAAGAAAAACTGGAAGGATGAAAAAAGAGGAGTGTTTTTCTGGCAGGCAGCTGAGGGAGGGTAATTGTTGGGGGCGCTATGGTTGCTGGGGAGACTCTGAGGCGGCGTTGGTGGAGCTGTGTCCAGGATTTCGGGGGGGTGGGCACAGGAGCCACATCTTGCCCTGTGTCTTGTGTTGCTACCTCGGGGGTAGGCAACCCTTGAACCTACTGTGCACAGGGTGGTTTGCTAAGTATCCTTAGGAGATAGGGTTTTACATTAATAATGTGTTGTGTGTGTGTGTGTGTGTGTGTGTGTGTGTGTGTGTTTAATGTTTTTTTTTAAAATATATTTTTATTGATTTTTTACAGAGAGGAAGAGAGAGGGATAGAGAGAAACATCGATGAGAGAGAATTATCAATCAGCTGCCTCTTGTACACCCCCTACTGGGGACGTGCCCGCAACCAAGGTACATGCTCTTGACCGGAATTGAACCTGGGACTTTTCAGTCCACAGACCAACAGACGCTCTACCACTGAGTCAAACCGGTTTCAGCTGTTTTTAATGTTTTTTATTGATATTTTCTAGAGATAGAGGTATGGAGGGAGGGAGGGAGGGAGGGAGGGAGGGAGGGAGGGAGGGAGGGAGGGAGGGAGAGAGAGAGAGAGAGAGAGAGAGAGAAAGAAACATCAACATCCATGAGAGAGAAACAGTGATTGGTTTTCTCTTGTGAGCCCCCTATTGGGGATCAAGCCCACAACCTGAACATGGCCCTGAATGGGAATCGAGCTGGTGACCTCTTGGTTCATGGGTCAGTGCTCAACCATGCAGCCACACAGCTGGGCATAATGTTACTTTTCATGCGTGGCTCTCGATCGAGCCTGTTATGAAACTGTGCTTAAGTGGGAAGTGTACAGAATCAGGCTACGCATTCTGACCTCGCTGCGCCCCGGTTGTGTGGCTTTGAAAGCCCTGCTTACCTTCTCCTTGGATGATTGTTAAATGGAGTGTTGCTGGCGCTCCGTGGAATGGTGACTGCTTTTCTGGGAAAACTTGGAGATTGATTACAGTCCTCCTCTCTTCTTCCTTGTGGGCCTTAATTATTTTCCTCTTGGTATGGACACATGCCTCCACCCTTCCAGCATTTATTGGATATTATGATAATGTTACCACAAAGATAAGTATATAGTAAGGCCCGGTCTTTGTCCTTAAAGATATTTGATAGAATAATTTACCAAATACAATATGACAGGCACATTTTTATAGTGCTTATGTACGAAACACATTTGGGACATGTTGAAGGATATTTTGCCTGCAATTTGAATGTTCCCCTGGGAAGTGATGCTTCTGAAATTGGGTTTTGAAGGATGCATAGGAGTTCACCTAGGAAGAACTTTAATCGTTATTAATATTTCTTCTCTCCTCCCTTCCTTTTTCGCCTACTTCCATGCCTTCCTCCTCTTCACCTCCCTTTTCCTTCCCATTCTCTTCCTTCTCCGTTCTTCCTCCTCCTTCATATTCATAAGGCTTTATTGATAACAAGAGTGTCTCGCTAGTAACGTGTCAAGCAGGGAAAAGAAGACAGTGCATTTAATTAGGAAAAATTATATTATGATTGTCTTCTCTAAACAGCATGTTAGTTTTTATCACCATAATAAGTCATTCTGTTCTCAACTTTGTTCCCAGCTCCGTCTGGATGCATTTATTTGTAACCCACTTTCCATCTGTTTTCTCTTGTAAATGGGATTGTGAGAAGAACTTGGCGATGTAGTAATGCATGTCTGGGGTACGTGGGGGAGCTGGGGTGTGTTTCACTCCGGGTTAACTCTTCCCTGGTCTTTCCGCACCCACAGATGGGAAGCCCGTGTCGCTGTCTCCGCTGGAGTCCCAGCCGCACAGTCCCCGGTACTCGGCCCCTGGCCAGCGGGAGCGTGAGAGCCTGGAGGTGCGGGTGCGTGAGGTGGAGGAGGAGAACCGAGCCCTCCGCAGGCAGCTCAGCCTGGCCCAGGGCAGGGCCCCAGCCCATCGCCGTGGCAACCACTCCAAGACCTATTCCATGGAAGAGGGCACTGGGGACAGCGAGAACCTTCGAGCCGGCATCGTGGCGGGCAACAGCTCCGAGTGTGGGCAGCAGCCAGTCGTGGAGAAATGTGAGGTAAAGAACACTTAGAACCCTACAAGGCCCAACTGTCCCCCCTTCAATCCCCCTTGCAAATGCTGGCCTAGAAGCACCGCCAGATGCCTGAACATCTGACTGGCCACTAACTCTGTTGTTGGTCTGACAAACCATTAGCCTCTGAGCCTAAGTTTTGACATCTGAAAAATGGGGATAAGAAAGCCAACAGCCCTAGCTGGTTTGGCTCAGTGGATAGAACATTGGCCTGCAGACTGAAAGGTCCTGGATTTGATTCCAGTGAAAAGCACATGCCCAGGTTGCTGGCTCCATCCCCAGAAGGGGACATGCAATTTCCTAGCAAATCCCCTAAAATGTAGTGGCTTCAAACACCTGTGGTTTTATTACCTCTTGTAGTTTGTGTGGGTCCAGGGCTTGGGAATTGCTTAGCTGAGCGGTTCTGGTTGGGGGCCCTTATATCCAAGTTGTTATTTTGTGGCTGGAACTGGAGTAGTGCAGGCCAGGAGCAGTGGGTGCTGGCTGGCTGGCCTGGCATCGCTGCTTTTCCCTGTTGGAGACCCCGACTTCTCTCTGTGGTGTTTCTGCAGGGGCTAGTTGGGCTTCCTCACAGCATGGCAGCTACAGGGCAGTCGGCTGCTTTCCTGGCAGCTGAAGTACAAGCACTCCAGTGAGCAAGCTGGAGCAAAGCACGTTATGACTGATTCAGGGGTCACCTGGGGTCTGCTCTGCTGGTAGTGTTGAAACATGCACAGTAGCCCACCCAGTTTCAAGGAGTGGAAACATACCCCCATCTCTCAATGGGAGGGATGTCTACACTTATATGGATATACTTTCAACAGCAACCATTGGCATTGTCGTTATGGAAAGTCAGGCGAACGGTACTGCTGATGTCACACCACCTTTAAGGAAGGATCTCTCTTTCCTATTCTCTAGGAAACTTGAACTTGACTTCTTGGCAGTGGTGTACTAGTGACACAAGCGAACGTTTACAGGCACTGCTAAATGTTACCAGACACTACATTTGCGTGACATATCTCATGTCATCCCCACAACATACTCTCTAACTTTTAAAGATTAGAAAGTGAAAGGTGAACTAATTATTTCAAAGTCACACTGCCAGGAGGGGGTGGAGCTGGCATTAAAGCTAAGCTGTTTGCTTCCAGAATCTGTGCTGTGACCCACAGCCTAAATGCTCTGTGCCTGGCTGCTCCTGGGACCCACCGGGTCCTCAGCCTCAGAGCCCTAATCTGTACTCTGTGCCTGGCAGGTGCCTCGCCTCAGAAGGCTTCAGAAGACCAGCTGACCATGTGGGGGTCCGCTTTCACATTGGGGGCTGCAGCAGGCTCACAGGGGTTCTTCTTTATCAGTGGGGTCTAAACAAGGATATGTCTGTTCTTTGAAATAAGTTGGGTTGTTTTAAGCTGCCTTCCAGATTGCGGCTGCATTTGTTAGCTGCCATTTTGCCATAGGCATTGCATTTATAACACTTGTCACCTCTCACCTGCATTTACTGGGCCCCTGACCAACCCATAGTATTTTGAGCTGTTTGCTCTACTTCCGTGCTTTTATTCCAGCTTCCAGGGTTTTTATATACTAGAAGCCCGATGCACGAAGATTCATGCAAGAATGGGCCTTCCTTTCCCTGGCTGCCAGCACCGCCTTTCCCCTCTGTTCCCACTCTGGCCCTGGAGCCGCCTCTTTTCCTCCAGCCCTGGAGCCTCTTCTTTCTGCTCTTACCCTGCTTTCCCATGTGGTCAGAGGCCCTGAGCATCTGGGACAGTGTGGGATGCTTGTGTCATATATATATATATATATATATATATATATATATATATATATATGGCACTCATACAGCCCCACTCCACCCCTGGCCACTCAGTGCTTGTGTATGCAAATTCACCCATCATCTTTCTTGGGTTAATTTGCATACTCACTCCTGATTGGATGGAGGGTGTTGTGAAGGTATGGTCAATTTGCATATTTCTCTTTTATTAGTGTAGATCCCAGCAATGGAGAGGGGTGTGCCTGCAATCTTCCTGTGTACCACATGACTAAGGGAAGACACTGGCACAGCCTGTGAACTCGCATTTTATTAGCTTCATGTGTTGCCTTTGGGACTCTTTTGAGGATGTAGATCCACTAAAACATCTTCTCTAAATGTCAGGCCCTGACATTAGGGAATGTTGTAGATGGAGGAGCCCTTTCAGATTTCTTAGGCAGCGATTCTCAGGGACTCTTAGTTCCTGTCATATCTGAGGTGCCTTCCCTGAGTCTAATAGTTATGTATTGCCTCATAGCACGTTATCCCCAACACCTACCAGCATAAACAGTAAGCATTTATCTCTTGCAGCTTCTGAAAATGAGCAATCTGGGAGCAGTGTTCAGGGTTGGGACTCCAGCTCTCACAAAAGGGGGCAGTGAGATGACCAGCTGGGGTTGTGGCCATATGTGGGTGTGCTAGGGGCTGGAGGCCCAGGATGGCACACTGGCCTGGCTGGGGGGGCAGTTCCGTGGGACTCCTCCACTGCACTGCTTGAGCGTTCTCTCCACATGGCAGCTAGCTTTCCTGGTAAGTGATTCCACGGAGCAAGGCAGGAACCACAGTCTCTTAGATGCTCTAGCCTGGGACCTTATGAGGTGGTAGTTCTGCTGGCCCTGCATCAACTCGACAGTGCAGGAGAGTTCCCACTGGCCGTGACTACCAGCTGGCCAGGAGCTGTGAGGAGACTGCCTAGCACACAATGGCAATGGGTCTGTCTCCAGCAGCCTCCTGTCTGAGCCTCCTGAACAGGCCTGCCTCGATCGGCTCCACATAGTGCATTTGTTCTCTTACAAAATTAATTTTTGAGGATGTACCACAAAAACAGAGAAGCTGAAACTGAAGAGGAGAATAAGAAGAGTCCTGCCCTCCTTTTCCCTAGTTGTCATCATGGACCCGATGATTAGTGATTCGGTGGCTCATCTGCCCCCTCGCAAGTGAAGGGGGTAAAGGCAGCACTGGCATGGGACAGAGCAGAGGCAACTGGGCACATCTGAATACCCTCCTTTCAACAGCGGGGGAGAGACTGTCCCGGGTCTTCCTTGAAGGAAGTGGGAGTGAGGGCGGAAGGAAAAAACTGAGGCCTGACTTTTGAGAACATTTAAGGCTCCAGGCCTTGAAGCTAGAGCCTTCTCATGCTATAACCACTGAGCAACACTGGCTGGGCTGCTTTTCAGTTATTTTGGAGATATCTCTCTCTCTCTCTCTCTCTCTCTCTCTCTCTCTCTCTCTCTTTCTCCAGATGGAGGATTATTTCTGGATTATATGGTGATTCTATTTTTTATTTTTTCTGGGAACCACCATACCCTTTTTCATAGTGGCTACACCCTTTTATACTCTCCGCTGTAGTACAAGGGGGTCCAATTTCTCCATATCCTTGCCACAGGCTGAAAATCTTAATCTATGACAGCTCCCTCCACTGCAGAAGCCGACTACATGCTGACCACAGAGGATTCTGAAAGAATGTGTTACTCAGCCCCGTCTCCCCTCTCCCCGCTTCCCTGACCCACACCTCCTGTCCTCTGTGCTGTGAGGCACCCAAGATGCACGTTCCCACATGGACTGTCCATGGGGGAACATGGTCTGTAGGGCCAGCCCCGAGGATGCTGTGGGATTGACAGGATGTGATCACCCCAGGAAGGGGTTGACCCCCGGGCAATGCCTACAGGTGTGACAGCTCTTGGCTGCCTGGGGACAGCCCTCCTCCATCAAAGGGGCATTTGGGCAGCACCCACCACACCTGGCTTATGCATTCTGGACTGTTCTCTGCTTCCTCACTTCCTCACTTGCCTCTCTGCCCCCACCCACGCACACACCCAGAAAATCTGCTCTCCACTGGCATAGTGAGGGAGCCTTTGAAAAGAAAAGCCAGATCAGGCCATGCCTCAGCTCTGGTGGAGGATGGGTGCCACCCTTACTGGTTTTGTACAAGTGATGGAGGGAAGGTATTCAGAATGGGTTCTATGAACTCCCCTTGTACCCTGTCAACATAATCAAAGCTAAGTCTATTGAGTTCTTACCAGAGACGTTTCTTTATTATTTTAATTTTTCTATTGATTTTTAGAGAGAGGGGTAGGAATAGGGGTGGGGGGGAGAGAGAGAGATGAAAGAGATAAACATCTATCGATTGGCTGCCTCCTGCACACCCCCTACTGGCCCACAACTCAGGCATGCGCCCTGATCGGAATCCAATAGGCCACCTCGTGGTCACTGGATGATGCCCAGCCACACTGGCCAGGGCACCTCACAGTGCTTGAGACATATCAGTGATTTCTAAAGTGAGGTCCCTGGCCCACCAGCATCGCCTGGATGCAGGCAACCCTCAGGCCCCCTGGCCATGCGCCTGAATCGGGAGCTCCGGGGGAGGGCCCGCTCTCTGTGCTAATAATAAGCCTAGCGGGGATTCTGGTGCCTGCCAGAGTTTGAGGGCCACGGGCTCCAGGTCCTCAACAGCTCCTTGAGGGTACGCAGCAGGATATCCCTGAAATAAAGATAGGAGAGGAAGACCAAGGTCCCCTTATGCTGTGTGTGCATCCAGTAGCTACTAAGCAGCTCACCACCTGCACCTTCTTACACCCAAGCGTCTGGTCCTCACAGCAGCCCAAGGACGCCCATTTTTACAGCCATTTCGCAGATGACCAGTGAGGCTCAGGGACATTAAGTGCCTGCTCCAAGGTCACATGGCAAAGCAGCATTGAAGTTGAGGCTCAAACCCAGGTCTCCTGGCTCTTGTTGGTTTTCATCACTCCCTCATCCCAGCCTCAGTCCCCAGCTTCTCCGGCTGCCACATGACAGCATCTGCCTCTGCACCTGGCCCCTGCCCAGGAGGCTGCACCTGCGGCCCAGGATCCGCACTGAGCCTAACTTTTCGCAGTTTTCAAACCGGTTTCCCTTCTCACTCCCACTCCTGCTGTTCCCCTCATAGGAGACTGTTTCCCCTAAATTGTGCCCCCAGGCAGAATGCCCTGCAGGGTGTACCAGGCCTTCTGGGTCACTGTGGATGGATGGATGGTGTTGCTAGGGCAACAGGGCTGGGCAGAGTGTTGATGACTTTTGCCAGGGCCACCATTCATTGGCCTCCATCCTATAGTTTGGTCTGAATTTCTTTTGGGACCATACTTATTTCCCCCGGCTGGCATATATGTGAAAACAGCCCCAGGGTTGTTTTTTCCTGTCACACTGGAAACTCCAAAAATTGCACTTGTCCTATCTGAGTCCTTTCTAAGGGTCCTGAAAGTGACAGTGACGGAGCCCAGCAGCATTGGGAGTAAGCCGAGGGCACAGCGGCAGCTGTCCTCCCTGCATGTCCGGGTGCACGTTCACGGTGTGCCAGGTGGGCAGAGCTCCCTGTTAGGGTGAAGGTGGGTGAGCAGGAGCCTCCCTGGGCCTCCTTAGAGAGCCTTGTGGCCACGTGTCTGTGGAGTTTGTTGAGCTCCTTAAACTTGATCCGTGCAATTATCCATCCCCAAGTGTGGCCAGGGGTGCCCTCCTACTTCATTTCACTTTAGGGATAAGCACTATATCTGTCTGCAGGCTGATGCTCTATCCATTGAGCAATACTGATTAGGACATGGGAGCTATTTGGAGAGAGGCTGGATGGCTGCCTGTAGGGGGTGCCCTGGAGCAGGACTTTCCAATCTGGTCAAGTCCTGCCCATTTTATTATAGAAAAGGCTGACTGTAGGGCACCAGGCAGGAAACGGGAAAAGTTGCTGGCGGCAGAGGGGGCCAAGCCTGAGGGGCCAGCCCAGCCTGGTAGCAGGAGAGCTGGAAGAGATGAGTACCTCCATCGCCTGGAGTTCATGAACAGCACACCAAGGCTCCAGGGCACCCTGTTTGGGAAGCTCGGTGCTCAAGGACATTTGTGCTGTGACTGGAATGGAATGTGCCGAGCACCGTATTCTGCTTTTGGCATTGTTCCTGTACATGCTCCATGACATTCTGCAGGACGTGTTATGCCTCTTATGTGGCAGGGAGTCACCTGACACTACAGCATTCGCAGGGTCATCTTAGGTTAAGGGGCGGAGCCAGGATTCATTCATTCGCGTCTGGGGCCCTCGCTCTTGACTCCATAGGTGATAGGGCCCATCAGGCTGCCTTCAATCCTGCCAGGCTTCGGTTTTTTTTTTATTGATATCCAGGCTGCGGTCCCTACTGGCCCCTCTGCCCCTCTGCCATGTTATCAAGTTGACCCGAACCTGAGATATCTCATGGGAACCTTTCACAAGCTCTCGGAGCTACCCCTTCTCGGTCGGAATCCCCAAGGCCAGCTCATCCTTTTGGGGTATATTTTCTTTCCTCTCTCTGGTTGTCATCTGTCATCGTCTGCAGCTGGGGGGCAGGGAGCTCCCTGTTTGTCTGTTTGAGCCAATTGCCATGTCTCTCATCCCCAAAATGTAATTGAAAAGAGCCTTAATGGTTTCCAAATGATGATAGCTCCATAAACCGATTAAAAAGGCTTAATAAAACTGTCTCAAGTTACTTTCCAGAGCTGCAGCCTGTGTTCTTTGTTTTCTAATGATCCCAATAGGAAGGAAAGGCGATTTTTCTCTGTTATGCTGTCAAAAGCCGGGGGAAGGCCCTTCTCCATGGATCTAACTGCTCGCCCTGTTTTTGTTTGCTCCCCAGACGATCCATGTTGCTATCGTCTGCGCGGGATACAATGCCAGCCGGGATGTTGTCACCTTGGTCAAGTCTGTCCTGTTTCACAGGTGAGCGCAATGCCTCCGTTCTGCAGGTGTGGCCATCTGCCTGTGTGTGTTTCTGGGGGGAAGGGTTAAACCTATGCATCCTTTCATCAGACATTCAAGCTGCCATGAAGATTTAACTTTTGCCTTATATCTTGGGGAGACTATGTATATAAACGGCTAATATGCTAAGTGTCCATCTGACCGGTAGCTATGACGTGCACTGACCACCAGGGGGCAGACGCTCAATGCAGGAGCTGGCGAGCTGCAGTGACTTGGCAGCAGCAATTCCTGAATGACGAAACCAGCCTGAAACCAGAGAGGAGGGAGCCCGATTCCTTCCAGGGGCGCACAATTTCACCATCAGCCATGGGTTATGTTGTTGCCAGGGCACTGTAGGCTCTGAATCTGGTTTACTGCACACTTGCGTTTGCATTCCATACCCTGTACCACAGCAACTTTACAGAGTGCCCTCTTCTACTCTGGGACTCCTCGGGGGATGCCAGAGAGCCGGTTTCGGCCCAATCCTGGCCGAGGGACCTCACCTGTCAGAGGGATCCCACTCCACAGATGCCCTTCCAGCCACAGCACCACCCTAGGTGCGGCTGGCTCCTGAGGGACTGTGGGAGATTGGCCCCGGGGCATATCCAGCCTGTCTTGCCCAGTCCTGCCCTGCCATCTTCTAATGAATTTCCTTTTAAAGTGCATGAATCCGTGCACTGGGCCGCTAGTTGTGTTACTAATGTTTAATAGGAGTGATTAGGTGCTGTCTCACAGTATTGAGAATTGCAGCTTTTAGACCTGAAGGGACCTTCAAAGACATCCCAAATTTTGTACTCAAATTCTTCATCAGCTTCCCTTGCCTGACGGTCACCAGACCTCTCTATCTACATGTCCTTGTTGCCAGGTTGTGGCTGAATTATGTGCGTTGCCCCAAAACACTTTATCTGTTGGAGTCCTAATCCCCAGTAACTCAGAATGTGACTGAATTTGGAGATAAAATCTTTAAGGAGGTGATTCAATTAAAATGAGGTCAATAGAGTGGACCCTAATCCGGTATGACGGGTGCCCTCATGGGAAGAGATTAGGACACAGAACTCACACAGTATGAAGACCATGTGAGGACACGGAGAAGACAGCATCTACAGCCAAGACAGGAGGCCCTGCCGACACCTCGGTCTTTGATGTCCAGCCTCCAGACTGTGAGGAATTCTTTCTATTGGTGAAGCCACTTGTGTGTGGCATTTTGTATCGTTCTGTGGAATTCTGTTCTGACAGCTCTAGCAAACTAAAATAGGTTGGTTGCATTCTCTTTTCCACTGTAGCCCGGCCCACCTCTGGCCATTCCTGACCTTTAGAGAGGCCCTGTTTTGGTTTTTTTTGGTTTTTTTTAAAAATATATTTTATTGATTTTTAACATAGAGGAAGGGAGAGAGATAGAGAGCTAGAAACGTCGATGAGAGAGAAACATCGGCCAGCTGCCTCTTGCACATCCCCTACTGGGGATGTGCCCGCAACCAATGTACATGCCCTTGACCGGAATCGAACCTGGGACCTTTCAGTCCCCAGACCGACGCTCTACCGCTGAGCCAAACCGGCTTCGGCAGAGAGGCCCTGTTTTATGTGAAAGTGCAAATTCCAGCCTGCAGATGATACCCATGGCCCCAGGGGTCCGCATGGAACCAGCCCCATGAAGGACAGATGCCTCTGTAAACACTGATGTAGCATATGATGCCCGCCTTCCTGAGTCATCACTTCTCCCTCTTAAATTCTCCACTTCCCCCGGGGACTTTCCTTCCATCCCCTCTCTGTGTTGATTGATGCCTCAGCATACTTAGGGTCTATCCAGATCGAACCCCCAGTTCCAGCCAGTGTCGTTGGCTCTGTTCAACGAAGCTTCCCAAGGTTTGGATGAAGCTTACCCAGAGCTTTAGCCAACAGCGCACACATGTGACAGGTGACAGGGTCAGAATCCAGAAGGTTCTCAGCAGTAAGAACAGTCACACAAAAAACTCCGCGTTCAGTTGATCAGAGATGAATGGAAAGTTTGATGCTAGAATCCAACTGTCAGTGGCATCAACAGAGACAGGAGAAATGATGGACACCCAAAGCGCTGCCGACCCTGCAGGAAACAGGGTTCATCTTGGGTTCAGCCCCCCGACCAGCCCATCTATTATCAGGGCCTCAGGGTTCTCCCTTGAACAATGTTTTCCTCTTTACCTTTTCCTCTCCTCCCACTGTGACTGGCAGAGTCCGGGTATGCTTAGTCTCTCTGGCTCTTGTCCCTCCTGTCTCCCCACAGCCAGGGGGTGTTTCAGACATGCAAACTTGGCTTCTCAAAGCCAAGCATTGACTTCTCCTCGTCCAGGGGAGAGAACTGAATCTCTTTACAGTGTCACACAGACCATCCGGATCGGATGTCATCCCCAGCGGTGCTCTCTCTCTCCTCCCCTTGCTGATACTTCATGCTCCAGCAACACTGACCTGGTCGCACCTCCACCTGATGCAGGTGTGCCCAGTGTGCCCTGCCTGCTCTTTGCCCTCATTCAGCTCTCTCTGCCCGTTTCTCCCCTCTTTCTTCCTCTCTTCCCACCCTAACTTGCAAACTCGCCTTACTCTTCAATACTCCGTATCATTTTTACCAAGCAGTCCCCCTGGAGATTTAGGTCAAGGTTGGGGCGTCAATCTTACCAGCCCAGAGTGCCCTGTGCATCTTTCTGCTCTTATTTTTATTACTTTGTATTCATCTACTTCTCTTGTGTCTTTTGTAGTAGAGTGTGGGACTTGTGGGGACAGAATCCGTGCCTTATTTTTTTCTGTATTTCTAGTATCTTAGCCAAGTCCATAACACACATCATATGCTCCATCAATGTTTACATGGCTGACAACTGAATCTAGGGGACTGCATTCATAAAGAACCTGAAGATATATTTATTTCAACCGGTTAAGGAATATACCTGCCTCAAACCTAGTTCAGTTTCACATTTATGCCACTGTCTAGCTGACTGGTTTTTAGCAGGTCATTTAAACTCTTTAGACCAAGCATGTCAAACTCAAAAGGCAAACACGGGCCAAATAAATGAGGCATGTGGCCTGTGGGCCGCGAGTTTGACTTGCTTGCTTTAGACATTAGTTAGTTCTTGTCTCAGTTCGCTTTTGCTGCCGACCAACTCACCCTAAAACTGACTTGATTGAAAAGAACATTATTAGCGTGGCTCTTTGTACTGACCTCACCTGGATGGTTCTTTTGCTGTCCTTCCCCCGCCCACCCGCCCCCCCCCTTTATGTGCCTGTAGTTAGCCAGGGAAGTAACAAAACATCCATCACTGCCTCCTGGCAGGGGAGGGAGGTGGGAGGAGCCAGCAGCCATGATCCTTATACCCTCAGGGGTGGGGCTCTCAGCTCCTCCTCATCACCCTGTTCAGTTGGCATGGTAACCTCAGAGAAAGGAAGGAAGTGGAAATGCCAAGTGGGGTAGAACAGGACTTGTGGTAGGACACCCCTCCCACACCGCCTGTCTCCTGTGCACTTTCTGAGACTCCACGTGGTTCTTCACCTTCATGGGCCATTTGCAACCAGGCGTTTCGGGGCCTGAGCATTGAATTCGATGAGTGGTAATCAGCCTTTGATGCATTTATTCCTTCTCTCCACTAAAGAACTCCAGTCCCTTCCCTATCCGGAGGGAAAAAACGAAATACCACTGTTTAGAGAAGCGTATTTGCATGACCACAGACCATCCGCTATGTTATTTCTCAAATTCATGGCCAGTTTTCAGGTCACAGTAAATATTATTGCTGTTGCTTTAGCTACAAAACCCGATAATCCCAATAGCTGTCGAAATGGTGAGAGTTCTGTTGAGTGCAAACTTACACTCCTATGGTAACGACAAAGCACCGTGTAGAAATATAAATGGAAAAGCAGCAGTAGTTGCACCATCAGGGAGGTCTGGAGAGTTGAGAAAGAAGCACATATTCCTGAGATTTATGAAAATCCTGCGCCCCAAGTCAGTGACCAAATAACCACTTCCGCCCTCCCACCCAAGAAATCCCACCAATGAGAATGGTTCTGTGCATTGACAGGCAGGGGCTCCTGAGGTTAGATAGGGAGACAGCAGGACTCCTGAGAGGTTTTCTGCTCAGAAAGCCCAGCTATAAATAGCTCCCTCACCTCCACAACACGTTAAGGAGATTAACACACACACGATGATAAAGCTCTTTGACAAACCAAGCACCCGCTAATGGAAAGAATAATATAATAATAGTGGGGCAGGGAGGCGCTTTCTGCTTTCGCTGTGAATTACAGTAATTAGATTTGTTTCCCAGACAAGGTTTTCGGCAGATTTTCATGGAAGGCTTGCTTTGTTACTTGAAATCAATGTTACTTCTGCAGCCCGCCTGCTGACGGTAGGCACACTGTGTTATGAAAGGTAGGGGAAGAGTGATATGGACACTCACATACTGAAAACGGGTAAGGCAGCTTTTTGGAAAGACACGTCACAGTATTATGCCTAAGACCATGATCTGACAGGACTGCGTTAGGGGCTCTGTCTTCAAAGGCTAATCCTAATTCGAAGCGGCTTTTGTGAAATATTACTTATAGTTAGAAAAATTTGAATAGCACTTACAAACAGTAAGGTCAAATAAATGAGACAGCCGATGACACTCAACCATGTACTTGGTTGGCTTCTAGAAGGACGTCATAACATAGACATAAATAATAGTTTCTGATACAAAATAAGTGACAGCAGAATTCAAAAACGTATGTATGCCCTAGCCCCCGGGGTCAGCATACTGCGGCTTGCAAGCCACATGCAGCTCTTTGGCCCCTTGAGTGTGGCTCTTCCACAAAATGCCACGGCCTGGGCATTTGAAGAAGTGGCATTAGAAGAAGTTTAAGTTTTAAAAATTTGGCTCTCAAAAAAAACGTCAATTGTTGTATTGTTGATATTTGGCTCTGTTGACTAATGAGTTTGCCGACCACTGCCCTAGCCAGTTAGACTCAGTGGATAGAGTGCCAGCCTGTGG